CGAGCGGATGTGATATCCATCTTCATGATGTCAAATTACCCCAGGAGGTAAATTTTTAGCCAATTCTGCTCACGGAGGAAAAGTCTGTCAAAAACCGGCCGGATTTTAGAAGATTGGGCAATAAAGGGTAAATAGTGCCAAAAAATTTTCTCAGACTAATTACGGCCTCCTCCCTCTCCCAGCAACCAACTACGCCCCCTCCCCCTTGTTGGGGAATTCCCGACGATGATGTGGGTGGGAAAGGGGTTGGCGCTGCGCTAGCACACTCATGCAGACATTACTAGTAGAGATTACCTGAAACTTCATCGAATTCAAAGTGTTTGTTGATATTTCGTACTGATAAGATAACCTCGTCGTGCACTGGAACGGAACCGCCAACTAAACCAGTATTACCAGCCTAAAAAGGTACCCGACAACAGTAGTAGGCCGAGCTAGAGTATGGAGAGAAGCGTTTCAAGAGTGAGGAACAGCTTACCTGTGGAACGACAGCGATTCGCCTTCGAGCGCAGTGCGCCAATATCGCTGATACCTCCTCTGTAGAACTTGGCAACAACACACAAGCTGGGTCACCTGAGTAGAGTCAATGTCAATGTTCAACTCCTTGAATCATCAGAGATACAAATAGTAGACAGCCCCTCTTACCGATGCCTTGCAAACCGGAACCTAGTCACCTGGAAGGACATTTTACCTTTGAACGCCTTTGTCCAGTCCGTTTTGAAATTGTCGATGTCCGCAGTTTTCACATGATTCTGACCACAAATCTTTTCGAATACCCGAAGATCTGATGCTTCGACTTTGGCAAAAGATGGATTCCGGGATGAAGAAGCCAGACGTCTAACTGTGCTATGGGCCAGCGTTTTTAACATCTAAAACCGATAAAAACTTATTCGGCTGTACCCACGTTCTTTAAAACTGGATATGAACGACACCTCGGTTGGATGAATAAATTCCCCCAGGGAGCAATACTTCTCTTCCCATGATCGTAGTCGACTCAGTGCTACCTGACCGGTTAGAGAGAGAGAGTCGGCAGGAAACTAGGGCAGGCGTAAGAGATGGTTTTCGGTCCAAGGTGTACAGCATACATGATGTCCCCGTGGCCCAGGGGACTGCCTTACAACCAGCTTGAGACTTCGGGTCTTCCAACCATGACAGTCGGAATGGGGCTTCAGCGTTACCGTATCCTTACACATAATCCATTGCGCCCTGAACATCTATTCTAGGGTAACGTGAGTTCAGTGGATGCCATCCCTAGGGATTTAGGCTTCGACTACCTTTAGAAATTCATAGATGCGCGGCTTATCCCGAAGATAGTGAGCAGCTCTTCTACGGAAATCAAGTTGTTTGTTTTTCACAACAAAAGCAACTCGTGGCAGGAGTTTACGATGGGAAGACTTCTTATGAAGGAAGGGTCTCCATCCCGTTCCACTGTTTACCGTAAGCATTACAGTAGGGCTCATCGCACTTCAGAGATGGACTTCTGCCCCCCCCCCCCGCCGCAGGAGTTAGCTCTGGATCAATCCCGCCTTCAGCGAGAATCCGAACCCCCAATCAGATCAGCCGGCAAGGTTA